CCTTCAAAAACATCAGTTTTCAACTCTCGCAGCATGTTAAAATTGTTTTGAATTCATAACATAATATTCCTCAAGTAATTATGTGAAAATTAGGCTTTATTTATCAAAACTGTGGACCTGCAAATCATACTTTGTGTGAAAAGGGATAAAAGTTGTGGGAGTTTTACTGCCTCTAGTGTTCTTTTCAACTGGAAACTGCAGCGATTCGAATGTATAAGTATGTTTTTTGAGTTTTGCAGAAATGTAGGTAGAGGCATGTATTTCCAATGAGCCTATGTTGCACTATAGTATTTATGTATCTCTCTGTCTATCTATCTATCTATCCATCCATTTGTTCATTTACATATATGTCTGTCTATCTATAGTATCTAATTACAATATCTAGGCCTATGTATCCATCCATCCATCCATAAACCTGTCTGTTTGTCTCTCCACCTATAGTATCTAAATACAATCTCGATCCATCCATCCATCCATCCATCTATTAATTTTCCAATCTGGCTGTCTTTCAATCAATCTCTCTCTTTTAAATTAAAAATTACCGTTTTTAATTTAATTCCATTTAATAATTTTACAGGCAATCTCAATTCAATTCTGAAAGGTGCACAATTCTTGCTGGCAGGCAATATCCACAGGAGGAAACCCAGCCATATCTAGGGACCAAAACCACTTGAACCACTCACATTTACTTCAGAAGGTGTTAAAATGTAATTCATGTGGATATGAAACTAAAGAGAATAATTTAATAAAAGAGTGTTAGCTGTATCAAAAGAGTGTGAGGTCAAACTACTATAGTAGGTACTGCTGGAGTGTTAAAATGAGAAGTTATAATTAGAGAAGCTTTCATAAGGTCGACCCTTTGGATATAGGCCCCTTTACTCAGAACATACTTCTTAGCCCATGTAATGTCACAAAGCATTTACTTTAACCCATGGCCAGAATAGAGCAAGTGTTAAGCTCTACATGTTGCAACTGTTCGCAGAGAGCTTACGTACTTCTAACATCCATTAAGTCAATGTTACTTGACAGTTACTTCCTTTATTTGAACTATAACCGTCACTCACAACACAATATATATGGTACAATGAGATATGAAAACAACTTTCCTTCTTTAAAAGACAGAAAAAAACACATTCAATGGAAACAGAAGCTCTTCTTTGCACAACTAGAGTAGCATGAGAAGCTCCATGAGTCACACGAGCAAGTTTCTGATCAGCTTTGAACGGCTTTTACATCTGCTGAGATGACAAAAAACCTTTGCAAGCTGCTGCAATTTGAATCCTCACGTATGCAGAAATTTTAGCATAAGCAGCTGACAAAGCTTTCAGCAAAGACAATCTCTATAGTCTTAGCTGATGGAAGTAAACATAAATGTCTGTTAAACTGGCATGCAACAGGAGCTTCAAAAACACACCTGCGGTCACAAAGCCTGGAACAAAAGACAGGACCAAACCTGGAAACTTTGATATAACCGCTATACACTTTTGCAATCAGGTGTCAAATGAGGTGTTGCACCACAATATTCCAAAACAGAAAAAAGGCAAAAGCAGTGTTAAACATTGGAAAGTACGGTGGCCGAGAAGTGCAAAGCAAATCACAATTCTGAAAACAAAATAACAAATTACAAACGCAAATGCAAGTCTAAAAAACTAAATAACAATTCAGAAAGCACAACAACAATTCAGAATACATTATAACAAGTCAGAAAACACAATGACAAATTCGAAAACAAAATAACAAGTCAGAAAACACAACGACAAATCCGAAAACAAATTAACAAGTCAGAAAACACAACGACAAATCAGACAAACCGGAAGAGGTAGGTATAGTTTGAGACAGCGCCATTGGTTTGGGATTACTCAACACTGACTGGACGAGACATCTCTCAATCAACGTATACAGGAAGAACCAGCCGAAGAACAGCAGAGTCGTGGTAGAAAGTGCGGAGATGGTATTAAAGTAGCTCAGTTTAAATGTATTGTATGAATTGCCCTTACTATGGAATAAAAAATACGGAGTGTATATTTACATTTAGTTAAAAGTGGTTGTAAAACATCAGCTCCAGTGGCGCAGATGGATTAGTGCTTGTTGTTGGCTTTTCGATGCGATCGACCTGGGTTCGATCCTGCCTTTTGCCGAACTTTTTTTTTCTCCCTTTTCAAATCTCGTATCACATCGTAAAGGCATTTATTTTCAATAAAAATTAAGGAAATAACCAAAAAGTTGAAAATAAAGTATCGGGTAGGGTTAGGGTAGGTGCAGGGAGGGCTTTATTGTACCAATAAGGTGGCATCCATTTAATAATTAAAATTAAAATTATAATTTACACCCAATCCGTTATTACTGCATACTGTTTTATAATGTACTACAATACTGAAGTGCAGATAATTGACACTATTTGCAACAAGTAGTATACTTGATAGTAGAAATCCTGCTATTTTAACATAGTGTAAATAGGTATTTGCACGTAGTGTAACTAGCATATTGCTAAAAATACTGCTAATTTCACTTGGTGTAAATAAAATCCATTGCTAATACGAAATTTGAAAAGGGAGGGAAAAAAAAGTTTGGCAAAAGAAGGGATTGAACCCGGGTCGATCGAGTCAAAAAGCCAACAACATGCTGTTACATCTCGGGTCTTTTGAATTGTGTATGTATTTCTGAGTGTGTCTGTGCAGGAAAAGGCGTGGCCTGTACTCAAGCCAGCAGAGATCCTGATTGGTCTGCTCCTGATTTGTCCTGTCCTGGTTCCAGTGAAAAGGACCTCCCCAAACACTCTAGGAGGCCGAATGCGTGCCATTTGTTTTGCTTTGTCTTGGGGTTCTTTTGTGATTGTGCGTACTGTGAAAAACTTGCTCTTGTCTTAGTTGATTTCTAATTGTATTTAGCTTAAGGGAAGTAGGGAGTGTGACGCCATTTCTTTTATATGGTTTGTTCTATGTTTTGGGTTAAGGGAGTTAGGGAAGTTGTGTTGTATTCCTTTTTTTTATGTTTTATTTTGGTTAGAGAATTTAAAGGGTATACTAAAATTTGTTTATTTTGGCCTTGTCCACTCCTGAATTTGTTCACTTTGTTACTCATTTTCATTAAGTTTGTTAATCTTTTTTTTGTTTGATAATATCTTGGGAGTGAGTGCGCTTCCCTTTCGTGGAACTTCGAACTGCGTCCTCTAGGGGTCGCTATGGGGAACGCCTCGTCGTGACCCGTGTCTGAAGCCTACATTGAAAAAACACCAACTTGTTTGGCCATTTATGTTGCCACTGGCCCTAGACGGTCGTAACAACACACTTATCCATCTGCGCCACTAGAGCTGATGATTTACAGCCACTTTTAACTAAATGTAAATAGACTCCCCGTATTTTTTTATTCTATAGTAAGGGCAATTCATACAATAAGAGCTACTTTAATACCATCTCCGAACTTTCTACCACAACTCTGCTGTTCTTCAGCTGGTTCTTCCTGTACACGTTGATTGACCGATGTGTCGTCCAGTCAGCGTTGAGCAATCCCAAACCAATGGCGCTGTCTCATACTATACCTACCTCTTCCGGTTTGTCTGATTTGTCGTTGTGTTTTCTGACTTGTTATAATGTTTTCTGAATTGTTGTTGTGTTTTCTGAATTGTTATTTTGTTTTTTAGATTTGCGTTTGTAATTTGTTATTTTGTTTTCAGAATTGTGATTTG